CCCCCCCCGGCTGCAGGTGCTCCTCGGGACTCAACCTTCCTCCTCCTCTTCCTTCCAGGGTGCGGTTCCACCGCCAGCTGCGTTCAATTTCACCCAGGTGGCCCTATCCGTAGGTACCTGTGACCGCAGTGCTGACAGCTTCCGGGCCTGCCAGCGAAGGCCGAGAAGGGACAGGAGCAGAAGAGCGAGCAGGACCAAGGGGCAGATGAGCAGGAAGTAGACGGAAGGTGCCGAGGAGCAGATCCTGGAGGGAAGCGAGGGCTCTGCAGCGCCAGGGAGAGGAAGAAAGAGGACGATTAGGCGCCAATTTATTTGTACTAATCAATTACAAAGCTTCTGGGATTTATGTTTACAGGCAAATGTATGTAAAAATAATGAGACCAAATCGCAGGAGGCCTCGGAAATCGCACCCTGGCCCCCAGCTCTGAGGAAGGGAGTTCCTGGAACAGCCTCTTCGGACTCCCCCTTGCCGGGCTATTTCCAGCCACCAGAGGTTCCAATGACCTACTTAAAACTAACAGCCAAAATGAAAAACAAAACAAAAAAAGAAAGCCTCTCCTTTAATCTTCTTTCCTCAGAAAAGATATCTATAATTCAACCCTTGTTCTCAACTGTGATGTCGGTCCTGAATTTTTAACGGCGTTATTCCCACTGCTGCTTCTGAGACACACACACACACACACACACACTGTGCTGCTCTGATGAAAACCACTGCACCTACGGTGGGAAACACCTGCCAGCCCTGACCCAAGCCTGGCCTCCAAGTGGGCCTCGCTCTCCACTGGGACGCTTTTCTGTTTTCCCACCACCACCACCTGGTGCGCTCCCTGCTCTCCATCCTCTGGTCCTTCTGGCCTAGCTCCATGGGGATCCTGCTCTGGCAGGCTGCCTGCCTTGCCTTGGGCACAGTTGTCTTCCGTCCTCCCCCTTCTCCCCATCCTTCTGTTTAGGCCCCTTCCTTCCCTTTTAATCGGTCCTTTGTTCCATTGTAGTTACTTGAGTCTGTCTGAGAGTGGTTTCCCTCTACAGCGCCTACAGTGCCCAGCACATGCGCTCCATAACGCTTGCTGATCTGAATTAAATTGGATCTACTGCAACCGCATGGGCGGAAAATACTATATAAAGGCACGATGAAGCATATGATTGCAGCAGCTTCAGCCCACTGGGGAGCACTGCAGGGGAACACGCAGACACGCTGATCACACATAAGCAGCCCCAAAGTGGTCCCTGGCCACGTAGCCGGGGAAGCAAAGGTGTAGAGGACGCAGACACCACGGCCGGGAAGTCTCTCCTAGCAGAAAGATGCATGCTTAATGAGACACCAGCTACTAAATACAGTCTTCCAATGACATTTATTTGTGACATGATATCTGAAATCGGGGCTGTTCTACAAAATCTGGGGCTAATTAGTAGCTGTGCTTTTATGGGAAAATTATAATGACATAAGCAATTTTTTCTTCAAAGGGTAAGCTATAGGATCCGTGGGATTACAGACTCTTAGAGATGAAAATAGGTGTAGAGGTCATTTTGACCAACCTTCTGCAGTAAGGATCCCATTTTTGGCATTGCTGATGTGTCTTACTTGTGGGAGAATGTCGCTGTGATAAAGTCAAGAAAGAACCAGACAGCTGCTGACTCTGGCACTGGGAGCTCCTCGAGGGCAGGCCCTGCTCTTCTGTGTCTTTTATCTTCTCTGTGGAGTCTGATCAGTGAATCAGCTGCACAAGTACCTTCCACACGTGGGAACCAGGGATGCTGCCGCCATCACGTCATACAAGTAAAGATCATTATTAAACGCTAGGCTGGCAGCTCTGAACAGGGTCACAAAGAGCTGCAGGGTTTGTGGCCTGGACTTCTGGTCTCCTTTGTATTCTCCATCTTAAATTCAGCAGAGCAGTGAACTCTTTACCACCCCCTCTCCATGTCCTCTCTCCCAAATGACCCAGAGTGATTACAACTTCTCCCCAGGTCTTCTCTGAGTACCTTAGGAAGCTGTGGCTAAAAAACGGCATAGACTGCAAGGCTAAAAGAGAATGGCGCCACCGCACCCAGGCGTTGAGAGCACGGGCTGTAGGCATGTGTGCTGGGTAGCAAATGGGCCTACTGCATCTCAAAGAGAGCTGGGTTCAAATCCTCCCTCTTCTACTATTACCAACACTGGATAAGTCACTTATCTTCTCTAATCATTAGTTTCCTTACCAACCAATTTAGGATAATTTTAATAATTTCCAGAGTTGTGATAAGATAATGCATACTATAACATTTAACAGCATGAGTAGAGCAATAAATATTAATTAGCTAGAATACTACTGAGAAAGCTAAAAAAATCACAGGCAACCTTCTAGGAAGAGACCAGAGAGAGAACAGGGCCAGAGCCTGCTGAGTTCTCACGTAGGGAACACGAGCTTAGCCACGCTCCCCCATAGGCTAGGGCTCTCTGCCTTCGACCTCCAACCCTTCTGTTTCTGCAGACCTGGGTGACATGACTACAAAAGATGCTCTGGCTCCTTTATCTAGTCACAGGGGGCGGGTAAGGAGGGCAGGGAATTGTGAGGTGAGAACCCATGGCACCAAGTGTCACCATTGCTAGGATGTGGGCTAAGGATAGTGAGATAGGGCTCTGGCAACAGGAGGTGAAAGGAAATCTGGTACCCAGCTTTTCTGCCACTGAGACTCTTATCTTCAGTGTGAATGGACAGCCAGAGGGCTTGATTGTCTTACTGGGGAGGAGGCTGCTCATTCTTAAGAGTGATCTGCTTTCAAAAATATGCTCTTCACGGCACTGAGTTGGCCAACAGCTAGCAACTGTCAGCTCCAGTGCTTCTAAATTACCTCTCCTGGGAGGACAGTGCGTGCTCTGGATCCCACCGTCGCCATTTCCCACCATCTGCGTCTCACCCATATCTGGATTAGAATTAGTGACGTTCAGAACCATTAAGGTTTGGCATTTTGAATCAATCTGAGTAAATGCCCAATGCTCAAAGTACAAGGCCCGCAAACCAGAGCCAAAACCGTAATGAGAACACTTCATCATGAGGTTTAGTTCATAACTTGCTTCTACCCACAGCCAAACACAGCAAGAGGACACTCCTTTTTAATATTACCTCAAAAATACTGATTTCAGAAGAAAAGAGGGACAGGATAACAAGGGGGCTACCAGCTCTTCCCCACCCTCCAATCTAAAACTTGGGAAACTGCCTATGCCATGTGAGGCCAAGAAATAAAAGTAGGGTAAGGAGCCTGGTAACAGGTGCATCCCAGAACAAGGGATCCTTGACAGGGTCTCTGTAACCCAGCTGAAGACTCACTTTCCCTGCTGCATGCCAGGCCTTCCTGGGGCCGTGGGAAGCAGGTAGGCCATCCGGCCTCCCCAGAAACGTTGTGTGGTGGAAACACATTATCTCCTTCAAGGGTCCACTCACCACATCCTTGCCCAAATAAAAGCTGGGAGATAGTAACAGGTGCTTTATTACTACAAATAATCCAGTCCCCAGAAAGCCAATAGCATGCCTTATCAATTAATCCTAGAGAATTCTCTAGAATAAGACATTTATACCTAGGTCTGAGAGTGAGGTGAAAAGACCAGGCAGCTGGAGTCCCTGCCCTGGCTCAGTCATTGCTAAGCAAGTAAGACGGAAGAAAAGCCCAGGTCCACCAAGTTCTCTTTACCTCTCTGCCTTCATTTGGGCCACCTGCTGCTGTTATGTGGTCCTGAAACTGACTCCTCCTGGGATGGCCAGACAGGGTGGGAGGCCCCCTGAGAAGGGGTAATTGGTAGCATGCACGTGTTATATTTGACCCAGTTAACACCTGGAACTGGCACCTGCCAGGAGTGCAATGTCACGGTGACTTGGCAACCATTCGGGTGTCCCCTCTGTGTCCGGGGCTGTGCTCCTGCCACACACAGACGCTCGCAGTCCTGGCCTCCCCAGTTGAGCAGTGGTGACAGACATTAACCAGGTATGCAGTCCAACACCTCAAATCACTCTTCAGTCCTTGTACCACAGTGTCAGATTCAGTGGATACTTTTTTTTTTTCCTGAGACAGAATCTCACTCTGTCACCCTGGGTAGAGTGCCAGGGGTCCCACTGTCACCGTTGGGCAACCTCAAACTCCTGGGTTCAAGTGATCCTCCTGCCCCAGCCCCCCAAGTAGCTGGAGCTACAGGCACTGGCCAGGACACCCAGCTAGTTCTTTGAATTTTAGTAAAAACAGAGTTTCTCTCTTGTTCAGGCTGGCCTAGACTCCTGAGCTCAGGCACCTGCCTGTCTCAGCTTCAGAGTGTTGGGATTACAGATGAGCCACTGTGCCCAGGGATACTTTATCCTTCTCATTCTTACCTTAATCATTCTAATCTTCCTGCCTCTTGATGCCCTCTCTGCCTTTGGTTTTTTTTTTTTTTTTTTTT